CTTCAAGTCATTTGTTACTTATGGCTACCTTAAGACAAACATATCCAATAGTTTTCTTGGTAGTTTGTTCAGAGGGCTCACCCTTGCTTTCTTCTGAGGCTGAGAGTGTGTGACTTGCCCAAAGTCACCCAGTGGGTTTCCATTATTGAACAGGGATTCAAACCTTGATCTCTCAGTATCCTAGTCCAACACTCAAACCACAACACTACAGTGGTTCTCATTTTTCCCCAAACTAATCTGATGGCTCAGTGTTCACTTTTTCTTTGTCCCTTTTACTTCTTGACTCTGGTGTTAATACAATTTTGTTCGCAATTATGAAAGCTAAAAAGTCATATTTTCTAGGCAAATTGTCAAGTCATTTAAGTGTAAAATAACACCATCAAAGGGAATACAGAGACACCAAATATATTGCCCTGTGGACAGATATCTATGCTGTAAGACCTAAGCAGAAAACTCCAATCAGCCATGATCACCTCACTAGGATCCTGAGAATGCTAAACTAGATCCTGATTGTAGGGGGGGGGGGGTGTAACAAGACAGGCAGAATCAAATTTGCCAATGATTTCCAATGGCAGTGTCTTTCCCACAATCCATATGGCTGTGGCAATGATGGGAAGGATCAGTGGGGGTCTGAGGCACTGAATTCACTTTGCGTTTTGAATAAGGTGGAATTAGGCAAAGTACTAGGGTAGTGGTTCCCAAACTTTGGGCCCTCAGTTGTTTTGGACTTTTCTTCCCAGAGGCCTCTGACAGCTTAGCCAACTATCAGGAATTCTGGGAACTGAAGTCTGAATCATCTAGAAGACCAACGTTTGGGAAACACTATCCCAGGGCCCTTCCACACAGCCATAAAACTCAGAATATCAAGGCAGATAATCCACAATATTTGCTTTGAACCGGGTTATCTGAGTCCACACTGCCATATAACATAGTTCAAAGCAGATAATGTGGGTTTTTATATAGCTGTGTGGAAGGGGTCCTAGAGCTATTTGAGATATAGGGCTTAGTACTCTGAATAGCTTATTTTAGTCTCAACCAAAACATAGATTCATCACCTCACTTGCAATAAATTCACCATCTGCCACTGGGAAGGATTGGTCGATAATGCTTACTATGCTCACAGAAGGCATCTCTATCCAACTTCCCAGGATCCTTTAAGCTCTGTGTAACTCAGTATAACCCCCACAGTAAGAGCCCCTTGAAAAACTGGTGGTGTGGAGACACTTTGGTTCTTAATTACATTGCACACATCTAGCTTTCTTCCAAATTACCTTTAAAGCCAGCTTTCACATGTGGCATATGACAAAATATGACCAGATATAATAAAATGTCTAAACTTACATGCCAGGCTGTAATTGAAGTGGAGTTGGACATAACTGCCTTCTGAAGCTCCTCCAAGATAGAATCAGGAAGCTCTTTGTGAGACTGCAAAAGTGGCTTGTACTGAACTTGCCTTAAAAGAAGGTACAATGTTGGTTGCTCAGGAAAAGTTTGTAGTCCCTGGAAGCAAAACAAGTAGAATAGGGAAAACCTATTAGAAGCTGCTTCAAAGGGTTTTGTGGGATCAATAATAACAATTACAATAATAATAATGCTTTATTTATAACCTGCTCTATTTCCCCGAAGGGACTCAGGGCAGCTTCCAGCAATGTAAAAGCACAGTGGCAAAAATGCAATGCCAACTTTGAGTTGACACAGATTCTGGTGTTCTCTGTTTTCAATAAGCAAAAAAGCAGGAAAAATGCCGGAGGCAAGGCTAACAGGATTATTATTTTGTAAGCCAATCAGCTAATATTTTCATGTCTAGAACCCTACTATAAGAATATTTCTTAAGTAATTCCCAAATAAGTAAATGGACTGCTTTCAGGCTCATGTCAAAGAGTTGTGGATCCAAACAGGAAGACAATGAAATGTGTGTCTATCTAATATTTAATAAATTCCACGAATGGATTCAAGTGACACATAAGTAATTACAAAACGTTATCATCATCATCATCATCATCTTTCATTTTTTTCCTATCCTCACATAAGAAAGAAAATAATCATTTCTTATGCTATAGAACGGATGGCATGGAAGCAACATTCAGTCTCTGAAGCCTTCTTATACAGCTCCTAATGTTTCCATCTGGAGTCTGGCTTGTAACAAAGACTGGTAAACTGTCTCTTGCTTTACAAGAAAGCATGCCTGTTGGGACAATTTATGAGAAAAAGCAGTACTTGCAAGGTTTTTCCACAAAGAGGTTTTTTTACGCAAAATACTTTGGATTCAAAAGTGAAAAACTTGCTGTGATTTGTACAAAAATATACTGTGGTTTTATAGGGGCAGATAAACCAAAATGTAAAAAACAAAACAAACAAACAAACAAAAAACCCAACAACCCCAAAACAAAAACAAAAACCCAAAAGGTACAACAGGAGTGAGGAAAATGCTGCCAACAGGTCTTAACATAGTTCCCAATGTGTTTTCTGCCTCAACAACTTCAATACTTCAACTTCAATACAAATGAAAAAAGGGGGGAAATGCCCTAAAGTAGCATTGCCATTGCTCTTGGCATAGTGGCTTCCCCTTTGAAATCCTATCTGCTAAAAACCATAATCATCAACCTGCTATAGCGAGTTTTTTTATTCTCCAACTACCTGCCTTCCTCACTGTTTGAGCTGCTTTTTCTAGTTCTCAAAATGGAAAAAGAAGCCACATCTTCTTCCAGAATGATACTCTTACTTCTGAGTTCAATTTCCAGCATTCAGTTTCTATCAGAACCCACTGTAATGTAGACAAGTCTGATGTCATGTTTCAAATCAAGCAAATAAAACATCTCTTGTGCAACATACTCACTGCAAGTATTAAACAAAATGCTTAAATAGCTATAGTTTGTTTTTTTCTCTACAAAGATTGCCGACAGCGACCATACCTTTGTGCAGAGTGCCTCTGCTTCTGAAGTTCTCCCAGTCTCACTTAAGCCAGTAATAGCTTCGAAAAGAGACCACTCTTCAAGAGCTTGGGCATAGGAAACTGGGAGATCATTTTCTTTAGCTAGAAATAAAATACAGTTCATTACTTCCAACACCTTTGGTTAGTTCATATCCACATTCGAAACTTTAGCAACAGAAAACATAAGCAATCATATTTTAAAAACAACATCAGTGAAGCAATTCCTAGACTAAAAGTAACCACTGACTTTGTTCAAGGAGTTGATAAATCCAAAACTTAGCTCCTTGAAGGAAGCACTGGTTTTTCAAGCTCCCTTACTCTTCACTCGAAAGCCCCTTAATCCTAATAATACTTTATACTTGAAATCAAAGCTGTTTCTATCCTAAGTCACCTCAAATTATGCAGGGAAGAAAAAGCAAGACCTGATAGCCCGTCTGAAACTTCATTTTTATTTCTTAATGCACAAAAATCAGTCTCTTGAGTAACTTTTTGATTTGCAACTGAAATCACAAATTCCTAACAAAATGAATAATAACATACTAACACGCACTACTTTTGTGACTGAAAGAAACAGTAATGCATAGGAAATTAGTCAGAAACATGGTGGTGCGTAATATTGGTCTGTCTGTTATATTCATTTTCAATATGATAAAACTATGAAGGGGCCACTAACTGATTTTTGAGGCACTCATGATCCTGTGGCATAAAAATGGCATTTACAAACATCTGACTTGATCTAGAGCAGTGCTTCTTAAACTGTGGGCTCTGACCTCAAATGGGGCCTGCTTAGTTCATGTTGGGGGTCTTGAAAAATCTGGCAATGTAAAACATTTCTGAACGGCACCTGTGGCTGTTTGAGGCACTACATGAATTGTTGGCAGTAATGTGCTGTGTTTATAATAAACTCTGGAGCATATGCTGTCAGAAATATTAAAATTTAACAAGGTGTTTTTTAATGTGAATCAAGCACTGAAAAGGTTAGATAGATGCAATGACTCAGCAAAAGCTGTAGTTCAGTATAAGAAGGTGTGCCTGTTGCTTAGTAATGCCTCAGTCTGAGAGAGCTCTCAGTGTGAGAGACGCCTCTCTGCGTGAGAGAACGCTTCAGTGGGAGAATAGGTCTCAGTGGTAGTAGGCCTTACTGTGGGAGAAAGGTCTCAAAGTGTGAGGTAGGTCTTGTTATGAGAAGGCCTCGTGTTAAGCTCCAATGTGAAGACTGAACTTCATTTGTGTTATGGAAGCCTTGTTTTTGTAAATAGTGCAACCATATTATTTTGCTATAAAGAAAAGCCTCCTATGGAAGAGATAACATTGGTCTGTGTGTGTTTGTTCTTTTTATCGCTTTTGGCTACTGGTGCTGGGTCATGCTGCTGCTAAGTTACTCTGCTATACATTTATGAGGAGGGTCTTTTGTTAATAAGCCCACTCACCCAAAACATGCTTCAGGCAAAATCGGCCTGTTTAATAAGCTTTGCAAATGCTGGTTTATTATCAGTAAATTTTTGACTTTATACCTACTTTATTTACCTATAAACCCATGGTCATGTAATAAATTCTCAGGCAAAAAGGGAAAAAGTTTAAGAAGCCCTAGTGGTTTTTTATATGGTTTTTATAGTGCTATGTTGAATGTTTTTAACTGTATCTTTTATGAATGTGTAGCATTAAATTGTTGCCAATCTGTAACCTGCCTTGAGTCGCCTTAGGGCTGAAAAAGGCGGGCTAGAAATGCCGCAAATAAATAAATAAATAAATAAATAAATAAATAAATCTAACGTACAACCATCTCATTCTTCCTTTTTCAAGTAAAATGTAGCAAGCAAAAGAGATTCTGGCTCAATTAGCTCTTCGTTATGCTAGTTCTCTCTTTGTAAGGAAACTGAGACATACAGGAGGAGCATTTAAAACTGTGTCCATTTCACACGCAGCCTGAAAGCTGCATTTTTAGACCAGGCCTTCTCATGTACAATATTTCTATAATTTTTCTTTGTGATAATGGATCAAAACCACAACGTATCTAGAATGCATTTAAGCCTCATCCTTACGGGTTGGAGAAACTTAACACAGACCAGTATTTCAGAGGACTAAGGAAGAAAATTAATGAAAGTTTCTTCCTCAGATTACTTAATATGTTACCACCCCCCCCCCCCAAAAAAAACCCTTACTTTTTGCTGAGATTGTGGCTACAATCATTTTTTCCAGGTTTCTCCTCTTTGGCTGTGTATTATGCAGACAAACAACAGTGTTTTCAGAATGACAAGCAGCTAGGAGCACTGACCAAGCAGCCGGATCATCTGGAAGAAATACGAGTTAGCTGTCAATTTCCAAACATATCATCTGAATGACTGAGCAGTTAAGCAAGTGGATGTATCCAGTGATGCAAAACCAAAGACATAAAATAAGATACCGTCCCAGAATGCTTACGCGCTCAAGACATCTGGAAGTTGACTTCCGGTGGGTGATGGCGACGGGAAAGCTGCATTGAGAGGGAGCTCCGATGCAGACCAGCGTTGAGGCGCCTTAAGGGTGAGATTAAGCTCCCCCACCATCACCAGATTGAGTGTGAAGGTGTAGAGTAACCCGTGGGAGGCTCGTAGACCCCAAATACTCCCTTCCCTCAAGGAGGGGGGTAAAGAGGGTCCGAGCCGACGGGAGAACAGGCGCCCCGCTGGGATCGGGCATTGACCCGTTCCAACCGCTGCCAGCCCATGCAACAAATACGAAGAAGAAATTAAGAAACTCAAAAGAGAAATTAAAGAATATCTCAACACCAGGTAAAAGATTTGAACAGAAGAGGAGAAGGAAGGAAGAAGATAGATAAGGAGACAAAATCAAGGGGGAACCTTTCCCCCTCGAAATTTAAAGCTATATTTTAAAACCCGGAAAGGGCTATTGTGAATAGATCAATTTGGACAATACCTATCAAATTACATAGTTACTCGCCGCTTATTGATTTATTTTGGCTTAGATAATTAACTAAACAATATTAATTAAACTAAATTAAAATAAGCATTTGGAAGACAGGGAAACGAATGAGATAAACTGAAAGAAGTGAGAAGATATTACATGCTGTGAGAATCCCCCTCCTCCTGCCCCCCCTGATCCCCTTGTCCTCCCACTCAGCCTAGTAGTTAACGAAGAAGGAAAATTCCTGACCTTGGCGCCATATTGTTGTGTCTAACTGGCACTCTTCTTTATAAACAAAAGGAAAGGACAAGGCAGGAAGTGACAAAGAGGAAGTGACGAAGAAGAAGGCGGTGGGAGGAAAGGGTGGAGAAACAAAGAAAGGGCGGAAGAGCTTCAAGAAGGGCGGAAGTTGGGAGGAGGAAGTTGGAACCATAGAGAAACCATAGAGAAACCATAGAGAAACCATAGAGAAACATCGCTACAGAGCGGCAGAGCGGCAAAATTAAAATAAGAATTTGGAAGACAGGGAAACGAATGAGATAAACTGAAAGAAGTGAGAAGATATTATATGCTGTGAGAGTCCCCCTCCTCCTGCCCCCCCTGATTCCCTTATCCTCCCACTCAGCCTAGTAGTTAACGAAGAAGGAAAATTCCTGACCTTGGCGCCATATTGTTGTGTCTAACTGGCACTCTTCTTTATAAACAAAAGGAAAGGACAAGGCAGGAAGTGACAAAGAGGAAGTGACGAAGAAGAAGGCTGTGGGAGGAAAGGGTGGAGAAACAAAGAAAGGGCGGAAGAGCTTCAAGAAGGGCGGAAGTTGGGAGGAGGAAGTTGGAACCATAGAGAAACCATAGAGAAACCATAGAGAAACATCGCTACAGAGCGGCAGAGCGGCAAATACAGTGTAAATCCCAAACAAATAGATATTTAAGGACAACAGGGGCTGAAGGATAGAGAAGAACATCGGGGATAAGAAGCAGACGTGGAGCTAGGACGAGAAGCAGACGAAATTCAAGGACGAGAAGCAGACGTGGAGCCAGGACGAGAAGTAGACGAAACTCAAGGACGAGAAGCAGACGAGACCCAAGGAAGAGAAGTAGACGTAAATAACAGAAAGAGGAGAAGAAGCTGAAATTAGAATAAGAAGGAATTGAACAGGAAAGCTGCAAAGACAGGAAAGAAAAAAGAATTAGAGGAAAATATAAATCAATTAATATTAATATAACTAAATTGGATTTAATGAATTTTTAAGGAATTGATCTACTCTATAATAAATCAGTTAGAAAATATTTGATGAATGAATTGATATAAGAAATTATTTGAAGAGAATAAATTAAAATTAAAGTGATTGAGGAGGAATAAAACCAAATATT